TTTTTTACACTTACATCTAAACATATAGATACTTAGATCAAAAAATATAGACATTTAATAATTTTTTTTTTTGAATAATTATAGCCTAATTTATATATTTTTATTAGGTGAAATTTGATGAATGAAAGTGGAATTGAAAGAAAAAAAATGAAAATTGGCAAAAGGGCTAAATTGTAAGAAGTTCAAAGTTCGAGGATTGAAGTGCAAATATATCGGACCTCACAATGAAGATTCGAGAGTGCTAGGAGTCAATTGAATAAAGAAAAAAAGTCAAAAGGAATAAAATATAGTCAAAGTTAATCACACATCAATTTTCAATAAAAAAAGTTATGCTCCGAATTTTTAATCTCATATTGAGACCCATTTTTGATATAGCAAACATTCTTATTGGAAAATGATATTTGAAGCAAAGTTGTTGTCAATTTTTATATCTCATAAGTGTACCAACCGTAACAAGTAATAAGAGTCCGGATATCGTTCCCACGAGGACTTATTCCTAACTTTAATTTGATCTAAAACAAATAATAAGTTTTGTGATTGGTGTCTAAATTATTCTAACTAAATTAAATTATCTAACGTATACAATTTATCGAATTTGGGTTTTAAAAGTATGAATATGGCTACCATGACTTACAATTTTACCTATGGATCCCGTTTAATTCACCAATCAAGATTTAATACAATTGTAGTATTCGATCGAGTTCTTTTAAAGTATTCAATTTACCATTCTCGAGTTTTCATTGAGCATATTTAACTAATTCAATCACATATCTCTATACGAATCAATTTTAGTTAAACGAAATATTAAGAATTTATCTAACGACCGCAATAATTAATATAGATATCTTTACACATTATACCAAATTATTGAATTTTAATATGTGGTCTAACTATAACTCACCTCTCGATTCATAATAGATTCACAAAATCATTAAATAATTGGACAAAGAATTCAACGCATTAAGTATGTAATTAAAGTCAACACATATGCATTTAAAGAATTTGTATCTTGAATAAAAGAAATAAAGAGTCACACATAAATTACATTGTTCGCCCTAACTATGACTTTAGCTACTCATAATAATGAAAGAAAACAAAAAAATTAGAGTTCATAATCGGGTTTTGAAATTTTGATCATTGAAAGAATTGGATCTTATACCAAGAATCTTCTTCAACCTCAAAAGTCTTCAAACCCTAACTTTTGCTCATAGATCTTGATAAGTATGTGTTTTTCTCTCCTCCAAATTGTGTGGAACTATCTTCAAAGAGCTGCAACTTTGTTTCAGATATCATTTTCTAATTCAAATATTTAGCCCTTGTTTGAGCCCCATTTTGAGAAGAAAAATGAATTTTTGAATAGTGTATTGATCGGAAATGTGTGGTTAAAAAATAAGAAAAAGTTTTGAATTTGCATATGATATTATTTTATTGAAGAATGTGTGGTTGAAATGATGTCAAATTACTGTAGAAAAATTCATTTTTCCAAAGAATGGAATCAAACAAGCCCTTACTATGTCAAAAATGGGTCTCAATATGAGACTAAAAATTTGACGCATTACTTTTTTAATTGAAAATTGATGTGTGATTATATTTTGACTATATTTCAACACTTTGACTTTTTTTTTCTTTATTCAATTGACTTCTTACACTCTCGAATCTTCATTTTGAGGTCTAAGACAACTTTTAAGTATTTGCACTTCATTCTTCGAATTTTGGATCTCTTATAATTTAACCCTTTTTGGCCAATTTTCGCTTCTTTCTTTCAATTGCACTTCCATTTATCGAGTTTCACCTAATAAACAAAATATACAATAAATTAGACTATAATTATTCCAAAAAAAATATTAAATGTCTATATTTTTAAGTCCAAATAATTGTATAAAATACATTTATCAAACACCTTCAAATTTAAACATTTATTTGTTTTCAAACAAAATCATAACCTAACTTAACAAATACACAAACATGCAAAAGATTTCTATTAGAAAACTTGCTATATTTTTCTCAGAATTGGAATCATTGTATCAAATCTATGAACAGCTTCAAGTTCGCATTACCAAAATCAATATCTAATTTTCCAATGCAAAATTGATGTGTATCTATGAAGAATTAAGTAAAACACTATAAATTCATGAGTTGTTGCAATCCCCAACTCTTGATAGTCAAATTTTTTACTTTCATTACTCGTAAGATTTACACACGTTCAAACTTATTCTTTTTTCTTTTACCCTTTTCCCAGTGTATGATCTAAGGCTGAATCTTTATTCTAACTCCTCGACCTCTCTAGTTTAGATTGATCTCACTAGCCCCATGGGGCATAGTCCAGTGGTGCAAAGGATAGGAGTAAGATTATATCACGTCTTGCTGGCAGCCGCAGTGTGGGGGTTCGATTCCTGAGACATGGAATTAGACTCCTTATAGGCGCAGTGTACATGAAACTCTTGTTCCCTGACTTGTTGGGGCACATCCCGCGATTTATCTCCTTCACAAAGTTTTAGGGGTTGGACGGTGGGGACCCTCAAGGATGGGGTTCAACCTTTTTTTCAGATGGATTTCACTAATTGCAAATCAATAGTTCAACAAATAAGGATTCTCTAAATTTTGATTGTTTCAACTTCCAAGACTTAAATAGGCTAACAATCCCTTGTCAAATATCTAATTTTCTCAAATAGGTGTTTGAAACTTAATCCAGACATGTAGTAAGTAAATATATAATCATTATTTTTTTCTTATCTTCATGCAAACTTCTCTCTATTAAACTTTCTAAACGACCTTTGTAGTAAGCTTTCAGCCGATGACTTCTAAATCAAATGATCATAGAGCAACAAGTTTTTAGACACACTTGCAAGCTTAATTACTCGAGTCATAAAGGCTATGAAGAGAAATTTCATAACAAGATAGCTTTTTCTTTTTCTTTTTGTCATGATTAGTGCAATGCCCCTCATTAAACATAAATTTTCAAAAATCGACCCTAACTTAAGATTTACACACATGGAATCCTCATTCATATCCATATCTTCCTACAATAGTAAAATTATCTTCAAACTATTTTAAATTTGGTTGAAAGATGTATATTGCAGTAACTTTTGAATTTAGTATCTATGTTCTAGTATTCAATCTATCAAGTATATGAATCAACCCATTACTTTATAATGCAAAACTTAGGGCCCGTTTGGTAGAGATTTTGAGAATTGATTTTTTGACCGTTAGAAGAAAAGTGGGGTCCACATGTGAGAGAAGAAGTGAAAAATTACGGCTTGAATAGTAAAATAACGGTCAAAAAATTAATTTTTTGAGGCAAAAAACCCTACCAAACGGGGCCTTAATTTATGTGCGCAAATAGTATCCAGTTCACATGGATAAGAATAAATTAATTTAAGCATGTAACATATCCACAGTTCATAAATTAACACATAAATCCAAATATATTTGTTGGCGAGGCTACCAAACCCATACAACACAAACAATAAACTAGAAAATCTTTTTGAAATTTTTAAATAAATTTCAAACTTTTCAATTTTTTTTTTTTATATACAATAAAGAATTAGAAACACACAACTACACAAGAATAATAAAACTAAAAACTCAATGTTTTGTTTAAGTGAGATTTAAGTATACACGCCAGTGCTACTCTTTTTCAGTTTCTGCTAATAAAGTGACAAATCAAAATCAATATCCATTGCACACAAAAAATATCAACTAATAATCCATCAGTTTTATGAATAAAAATGAAGCCAAATTTGGTAGCTAACCCCATTCATCTCTATTGTATAATTGGTCTCACTATCACAATAAAAAATAAAACCAGTGCATATCCCAAATTTTTTATTTCTTGATTACATAATCAATAATTAATTTATCACAGAATTATTAATATCCACATTGACCCCATGTTTATCATGCATATCATTGTCATGGAAAGCTAAACTTTACTTGGAATTAATTTAGTATATTTGAGTGATAAAGAAAGAACCTACGTGGTGCCAACCAAATAAACAAGATAATAACTAGAAGCATTAAGTGATTGGACCACGGAGTCGATAAATGTCACAATTGAGTATATAATGTCTAATATTTATCAATTGTACGTGTATAATCTTGTGAGTTATAAATTATTTTTAAAGATTGAACTGAAAATATTATAATATATATTTGATTTTTATCTTGAGTATTATATGATATATTGTACATGGACTCGAAGTGCTTTATTTTTTTGTAATGAATATCAGTTGAATAAAAAGTATAGAGAAATGACTTCTCCGCGTTATGTCCTCTTTCTAGTAATAAAGCACTTTTGGGGGTGAAAATTATAGAAAAAAAAAGTTTGAATTTTTTTTTTTTATAGAAATTAGAGTCAGCACAAATTCTTTGCATCCATTAATTAATTGGTAGCAATTCTACCTATTTTAGGCCACAGAGTTTTTAATTAAAGGCATGTTTGACACGTTAGAAATAATTGTTAACAATAGATCGTAGATTACTCTTCTTAAATCATGCATGTAATTATGTTATATTAATTCATATATTGGGTAAAAAGACCTTGTTGGTGCATGAATTTGTTTACTTAATTAAATTTGATCACCCTAAATTTGTTACCATTTTGTTGCAAAATTATATATTCTCTTTAAGACTAATCATTTCATTTGTATGCCTTGTCTCAACGAACAAAAATATTGAATGGACAAGTAAATATGTCCTTTAAGTTTCTGTTGTCTCATCCATCTTGAAATCCATTTTGGCGTCCATGACAAAAGAAAAAGTAATATAAAATGAAAAAATTGTGACCACGGTAAAAGATACAGTGATTAAGATAAAAGATTCCTCAAAGGAACACCATTTGAGGATCACTCCACTAAATATTTATAAGGATACAAACTAGAGTTACACATACGATTATTACACTGATGACTTGATAAAGGAAACCCCAAAGACTATACAAAAGTTAGAACCTCCTTATGAAACCTAAATAGTAAAATCTATAAACAATTTTTTTTTTTTTGCCTTAAGTAAATGAACATCTGATTAGCCGGTCATTTCCTGATTGTAAAAGGTAAAAGAATTAAAATGATCACTCACTGGGAGGACCATCTTGCTTTGTTCTTCTTTATCTATGGGCCATAGGGAGGAGTCTTGAAAAAAATCCCATGTAGGAGAGACAATTGTTTGGCATAAAATATTGCAATTTCCTTCGGACACTTCAATATCTTTCCAAATTTCATCCATGTCCACCTCAAAATCATTCTTGCGACCTCCAGTATCGTAAAAACTACATTCATTGTTCTTTGTAACTGAAGTAAATTCAATAGTAGGGCTATTCGATGAGAAGGATGAAGAAGATGAAGATGGTGATAGAGCTTTCTTCTTCTCTTGTGCCTTTTTCCTCATATGGGTTCTCCAATAATTCTTGATCTCATTATCCGTGCGACCGGGTAATTTTCGAGCAATTCTTGACCATCTACACACAATTATGTTATATTTTACGTCCATATGAACTAAAATCTTTGTCTACTCTAATACCATAGCTTAGCTAATCCTCTATAAGTTAAACTTTTCACAAGGTAACAAAAATTATATCTCTGCAATAATACATCAAAATTGAAGAAATATAGCAGTATATACACATATACACACACTTATATGCATGTTGTGGTCAACCTCGTTAAGGGAAGAACCCAAAAAAGTTTAAATAAACGATTTGACTCGTTTAAAAGCTAAAATGAACTGTCGGATTCTAAGATCAATAAAGAGAGATAGGATATAAAACTTCAAACCTATTTCCCCATTTGGAGTGAAGTTCAAGAACAAGGCGCTCTTCATGGGGTGTCATCTTGCCTCTTTTGAGATCAGGGTGCAGATAATTAACCCAACGTAACCTGCAACTTTTTCCTGTTCTTTTCAAACCTACAAAGGAAATTATATATATGTGGAATATTGTTAAACTACCGGGTTCCTAGGAATTACTATGGCATGCCCAAATAATCCTACCTAGTATTTTTGTCTCCCGCCACCTTCAAACCTGAAACTTTTGCTATGAAATCCCATCGGCGATCCCCAAATAAGTTCACATACAATACAAGCTGAGCATCTTCTTGTTCGGTCCATGGACCTTTTCTTGTTTCTTCTTGAACCATTTCTCTCTCCCTCTCTTATCTTTTTTCCTAAATGACTCACCTATCTACTTTGGATACTGAGGGTATGCTGGCTACTTATATATATATACACAAAAGATGTACACACACGCACCGGTGATTTCTATATGTAGGGTATGTAACTATCAGTACTGTTTGATATTCTTTTACAAGAATTTACAATTATGTGTGAGTTTGATTTCGAGCTCTATTGATTCAACTATTTCGTTAAAAGTTTAAATATTTAAATAGTTAAAAGTAAAAAGATTTTTCTCTTGAGGTGTGGACCAAATTAATTTTTCATTAAATTTACACAAACTTTCATAAATTGATGACCACGTGATTAGTTTTGAGACTTTTGCCAGCCTAGTTAAATTCAAGATTTAAATAAATGCATACAGTCCATCATTAATGATTTAATTTTTTACAAGATGACTCTACGTGGTATAAAAGTTACAGCAAAGATCTCGAAATTCAAGTCTCTAGTAATTCATTTATAAAAATCATATATGGGTCATGTACATCCTTAATCTTAAAATGAATTCGATTTGAAAATGCGGAGCTACGTTGAAAATGAAATTTAAATAAATATATACGACATTCTCTCTAAAGTCTAATTTTATTTATTTATTATTATTATTATTTAAATTGTTTTTTTCTTTTTGAGAAGGCAGTTCAGTGTCCTATATTCCATTATTTCATATAAAACTTTAAACCGTTATGTTATTTTTGTTAGTCGAATTAGTCCACACAAAGAATTGAGTATAAAACTAGAATAAATATATATGTCTATAGTATTACAGTAGATAGGTGGATAGTATTTTTAGGTTTTTTTTAAAGGAATCTTATTTGAATTATATTTCTTAATACGTAGTGAGACCATGAATTAGACCGAATAAGAAAGAATAGTGCAAATAGCATTTTTTAGAATGCAAAGCTTGTAAATAGTATCCACTACAATTCACTATAATACTATTTATAAAGAGGATCATATCCTCTAAAGTATGCATAATTTTTTGTACGTTTTAATTCAGTGTGCCAAACGTTGCTTAAGAGTGTAAAAGTATTTGTTTATTTATTTATTATTATTATTATTATTATTATTTGGGAACTGTGGGTTGCTAGTGATGGTTTGGTGATAGGACAACGTGGCTATATGATGCAAGCCATTATAAAGTGCTTTAGATAAGTGATTGATATTATGTTGATGTTACTTTCATATTGGCCGTCCATTTTATTCCATTGGCACTGCCTTGCTTCACCTTGATTGCTTTATCTTTGTGCGTGACTACCATCCATATATAGAGAAACCAAGTTGGATTTTTATTGCTCGTGTTACTTCGTTATACGATATAAATAAAAATTAATTGGATAATTCATTTTTTTTCTTTATTTAAAAGTCCTTGTATCGCTCGACTTTAATCTCGTGAAACCTTTGCCACCCTTGTCCCCAACGCTCACTCAAAATAGTTAAATATCTGAAAATATTATTTAAAGACTCTTCGAAAACTTTAAAACTTCATAGAAGTCACATATATATAGTGTCATGATTATATGCCTAAATTAGTATATTAAAATTTGCAGAAAAATAGTCTCCAGAAATTTATTTGGTTAGTTCAAACGAAAACATAATGATGTATTTATAGCTTATATAACCTAAGGATAATAAAAGTTTTATAATTTTTAACATAAGCAAATGAGATGTTAAAACCAGCTCTCTCATATGTATCTTATAGTTTATATAAATTTAAGACTAATTAAAATCGAATTTTTTTGTATTTCAACAATAGAAGTCTAATTTTATTAATTAAATGAAAATCAATTCAAGATTTTGCCAAAACATTTTTGCAAAATTTTCCAATCAATGGGCAATTTTTATCAGGAAAAAAAAAATACTGTGATTCATATATTACAATTACCAGCAAAACCCAAAATCTCGCAACTTTCAAAGTTTTATCTTTTAATAATGATGGTGTGCAAAAGTAGTAACGTAAAGAATAAAAAAAAGAAGGGGTCTTTTAGGGTTTGCTTGGATTTATATATCCGTGGGGAAAAAGTTAGTGGAAATTGCTGGCTCTTTATTTTTCATCTATTTTAAGAAGATTTTCGATGGCTCTGTCCCTTGATTTTGCAAAAGTCACATTAAATCAGCGACACCATATACAAATATATAAGTAAAAAATTTTAGAGGAAAAAATAATGGACAAGAGGAAGCCAAGCTGAAAAGAAGGAAAGATCTTGGATTAGTGTAGTTGTAATTTTATGCACCAAATATTATGGGAAATAAACTGAAATTTGAGTAATTAACTCTATCGAAGAAATTGTATATACATTTTTAATAATTCCCTCTCAATATTATACGTGCAATTGAAATTGAGAAGAATTTATGGTTAGAGACGGCTCTTACGGCTCTTATAAGTACTTTTGCTAGAAGTGACGTCAATGAAATCAACAAGAAAATCCAAAATGTATTGAAATAGTAGAAGCGAAGTCGACAAAAGTATTTGACCAAACTAACTATTTTTTAAATGAAAACTCAAATTGAAAGATTTAATTTCTTATTTCTTTAACTTCAATTACTCAAATCATACTTATCATCTTCCAGTTGTTTAAGTAAAAGGGAAAGGATTATTAAAAGTGTATACTCATTAAAAGAATAAATATAGCATTAGTAGCAGCCATTACCCAACAAGAAAATAAGTGGAAAAAGGGAAGACGGACTCCCACAGTGTTTATGTATATCTTTGCAAGAAGTTGAACATGTAGGTAAATATTAGAGAATCAAATCAAACCGAAGGCTTGTGAATTTACAGTTTCCTTAAATCAAATTCGCAGCCTCATCGGAGTGCAAGAGGTTTTGATCGGTGTTCGATTCTCAGGATACAATCGGTTGTCGGTTCACGCTGCACTACGTTAACCGCCTGCGAACTAGCTGTGATATACTCTATCTCACAAAGAAATTATAAGCACAAGGAAGAACTTGAAAGTGAGAAAAAGAAGATTGTTGCTTAGAGGAAGAAGTTTGCATTTCACTTGTGATTTTCCAACCTAGAGAGACTCCTATTTATACCAATAGAGGAAAAACTAGCTCATTAATCAAGGAGTTAAACCATTCATTAATAAATGAGTTAAAAACATGAAGAGACTTAAGTTACTTGAGTTACAATATATGAAGAGACTTCTATTCAATATTTTTCATTAGTTCTATTCAATATTTTTCATTCAATTCTAACAATCCCTCACATGAATGAAAAATGGAAACTAAGACTCAAGAGAAAAGAGAGAGTAAAACGAATCAATCCTGCATAGGATAGGTAGCATTTAGCTTTGAACCTTCCCTTGTGAAACCTATTGGGAATTACTAGCAAATCAGTGGATCTGATGCCTTGAACTGTTTCACCATTTGTGTAAATCAAGACAATAGATCTCACACGGGACCATTCTAGTCACAGCATAGTTCTTTCTGTTGTGTTCGTTTTGGCCATGAACACGTCACCTGGTTCTGCAAGTGTTTTTTCAAGGACGTAGCCTTGCCAATCCTTATAGAAGCGGCCCCACTTCACACTCACATAAGTGACTTCTTAACTCAGTTTTCCACAACAACGCTTAATGGTCATTAAAAGCATAACTTAACCTACATCTTCCAATCACTGTGAGCACCATAGGAATGAGCAGAAGCAGAACATTCTCAGTGATTTACACAGATATACATGTTTTAGTTGTTCCTTTGAACCTAGATCCTGGGATCTCCATTCAACTAGGTTGGGTTTCCACCATGATACCTTTCAACATCATAGGCTATAAGCTCATTCCCCTTAATACTTTTACAACTAGCTCTCGAGTTAGCCCTTTGGTTAGCGGATTCGCAATATTATCCTTTGACTTCACGTAGTCTAGAGTGATAATACCTTGTGAGAATAGTTGTCGAATGGTATTGTGTCGTCTTCGAATATGGCGAGACTTACCATTATACATATTACTCTGTGCCCTGCCAATTGTTGATTGATTATCACAATAAACACAAATTACAGGTACAGGCTTTGACCATCTTGGAATATCCTCAACAAACTGGCGAAGCTACTCTGCTTCTTCAGTTGCTTTGTCCAAAGCGATGAACTCTGATTCCATTGTAGATCTTGCGATGCAAGTTTGTTTGGACGATTTCCAAGAGACAGCTGCGCCACCAAGAGTGAAGACATATCCACTAGTAGACTTGGTATCTGACATATCTGATATCCAATTTGTATCAATATACCCTTCGATTACTGCAGGGTATCTAGAATAGTGCAGTCCAAAATCACGAATGTGCCTTAAATAATTTAGCACCCTAAAAATGGTTTTCCAGTGGACAGCACCTAGGTTACTCGTGTAGCGACTCAATTTGCTAACCGAGTATGCTATATTTGGTCTCGTACAAGTCATTAAATACATTAAACTCCCAATTATTCGAGAATATTCTAACTGTGATACACCATCAACAGTGTTCTTGGATAAGTGGAGACTGAAATCCACTGGAGTCCTGGCCACAGTGGTATCTGACTTGTTGAACTTGTCTAGTATCTTATCAATGTAATGAGATTGATATAACACAAGTCCATTTGGTGTTCGAGTAATTTTTACTCCCAAAATGATATCCGTGAGACCCATATCTTTCATGTCAAACTTCGAGTTTAACATATTCTTAGTGGCTTTGATAATCTTGTCAGAGCTACCGACAATGAGCATGTCATCGATGTATAGACCTAGCATGACATATCCATCATTAGTGTCCTTGACATATACACACTTGTCGCACTCGTTGATTCTAAAACCACTAGAAAGCATAGCATTATCAAACTTCTCATACGATGGCTTCGGTGCTTGCTTCAAACCATACAGCGATTTAACCAGTCTACAAACTTTCCTTTCTTGAAACCCCTCTGGTTGCTTTATGTAGATTTCTTCATTCAAATCTCCATTTAGGAAAGCTGTTTTTACATCCATCTGATGTATTTCCAGATTTCGCAAGGCCGAAATAGTAATTATCATCCGGATAGAAGTTATTCTCGACACAAGAGAATAAGTATCAAAGTAATCTAAGCCTTCCTTTTGCTTATA